ACCATATTTGCTGCTGAGCCAGCCTCGCCAGAGCCCTGCCCTCATAAGCCCTGACTTCATGGGGGCCAAGATCAAACATGGGAAGACGAGGACGCGAAAAGCTGCCTTTGCTGCCTGAGGGCCCTTTCTCGGGTAAACCGTCTGTGTCTGTCTTCCCTCCTCAGAGACAAGCGGGACTTCGTGTCGGCAGGGGCGGCTGCTGGCGTCGCTGCAGCCTTTGGGGCTCCCATTGGGGGGACCTTGTTCAGTCTGGAGGAGGGCTCGTCCTTCTGGAACCAGGGGCTCACGTGGAAAGTGGTAAGGAGGGCCTTTGGTGAAAACCTCCTTCGCTTAGCCCCATCCCGAAATTTAAGCTGGACACGTCTTACTCAATAGATTTCCCTGTAGTTTCGATGAGACGGGATGATTCAGTGTATTGGAAATTCCTTTGCTCTAGACGCCCATCACCGCCAAACCACGGCCTTTTTAACACATCTCATGCCCTCCTCATCCCCGCATCAAACTGCCGTTATCCTCTCTCAATGAACCGTCCGACGTGGTCACGCGGAACTGGCGGTGGTCGTCAGGCAGGCGGCAGCAGAGCCCGCCCTCGAACCCCTGTCTCCCACCTCCACAGCATGCTCTTCCTCTCGTGTTTCCTCAGGAGCGGGTTCTTTCTCCTGTGGTTATGAGGCGCTGGCACGGGAGCTGGTCCGTAACCGGCTCTAAATAAATAGCTCTCACAACAGGCTGCTGGAAGGGAAACTTCTCGTGGCCTGATTTTTGGCTGTTTACACAGTGGGTGTATTTGCTACAGTGTTACCTGGAGTTTGCAGGTTCTTATGGGGGCAGGAGGTTTTGTGAGGGAGCATCAGAGAGAAAGGAGGACTTGTCACTATTGAATGTTCTTATTTCTGTCACCTGTCCCCTTAGCTCTTTTGTTCCATGTCTGCCACCTTCACCCTCAACTTCTTTCGTTCCGGGATTCAGTTTGGAAGTTGGGGTGCTTTCCAGCTCCCTGGATTGCTGAACTTCGGCGAGTTTAAGGTATGTTTTGTCCTTCCCCCCAGAATTTCTTACTTGACCTATGGCAATTGCTCTTTAGTAAGGTACCAGGGGGAAGTGATCGGAAGGGTAGGCACAGCTTCAGGTGGGGTATCTGTGCCCTGCTGGTCTCCTGCGCCTGCCCCCTGCTCGGCGTGGGCACCGGCTCTCACGGAGAGAAGGAGCCACCCCTCTCGTGTCTGTCTCCTCTGCTCTGTCCCTTGCTGTTCTCATGGGCACCGTGCTTTTCTTCTCTCTCTCCCTTGCCCCTTCTCTCAGTGCTCTGACTCTGATAAAAAATGTCATCTCTGGACAGCTATGGATTTGGGGTTCTTCGTTGTGATGGGGATCATTGGGGGCCTCTTGGGAGCCACGTTCAACTGTCTGAACAAGAGGCTTGCAAAGTACCGCATGCGGAACGTGCACCCGAAACCCAAGCTCGTCAGGTACCTGTGCAGTCGCCGCCCCTGCCTGCGTGGCTCCCTGCGCGCTGCGTGGGCCATCTCTCCCGAGGGAGGCGATTCTGGGAACAGATGCTGCCTCCCACACCAGCTCGATTTCACATCTGAGGTCGGGAATGTAGGCGGGGTTATAAATCTTCTGCGTTTGTCAGACAGGCCGAAGGCTGAGTCCGAGCTTAATTGACATCAGAGTTGCTGGTTCACTCCTAGCCTTCCCTGACTTGCCACTAGGACACATGACAAAGTCAGAGGAGTCCATGAGACTCTCGCTCCTGGGACCTAAAATAAAAGCCCATTTTGTCCTTCGGAGAGCGATGATGTGGACATAGCAACCCACGTACGTGGCTGCCCACTTTTTACATAATAATTGCTGGAACACAGCGCGTCACTGACAAATTCTGCACAAGTGCTGACCGACCAGGGGCTGCTGCGCGTGCTCTTCAAGGAGATGAGGGTGGGGTAGGCAGTCACGTTTTTGAGTTCCCGAGTCTTTTATCGCATAATAACAACTGCGCTTTGCTCCCTAGAGTCTTAGAGAGCCTCTTGGTGTCTCTGGTAACCACGGTGGTGGTGTTCGTGGCCTCAATGGTGTTAGGAGAATGCCGACAGATATCGTCTTCGAGTCAAGACGGTAATGACTCGTTCCTGCTCCAGGTAAGCCCAGAGCACCTGCTGCCTTCATCCTATACCTACAAGAAGAATCCAGAAATGTATGACATGCCTCCGTCTCAGGCTAATGGACGTGTTGGGTTTAAGAGAGAGAGGAATGTGTAGTAGGCTTTTTACCTGAGAGGATGTGCATCCTCTGTCTCCTTCACATCTGTGAACGGTCCTGGTCATCACAGAGGAGAACGCCCCTCTCTCTCCCTCTCTCCCTCTCTCCCTCTCCTTCCCCGCCACCGCCACGAGTTTACAAGAGTCGCCCTAAGTCCGGGAGAAACGAGTGTCTGTCTCAGGGCAAACCGCGGTCCTGGTTCTTCCTGGCGTTTGGTCATTTCCTGGCATGCGTCCCTTTTGCATTCCATTTCTCTTCCTAGGAGTAGGTGGTATTTTCTGTAACCTTTCCCTGGAATAACAAGGTCAGTAGGTGGGCGATGGAGCTCACTCAACCCTGTGTTTTTGATCCAACCTGGTGGGTCTGAGAGCTGGGCTATGGGCAGCCAGGTGTGTGGTTCTAGCCTTGAGGGTGGAGCCTGGGGAGTGCTCTGTACCTGTCTTCTTGTTGAAGTACCTGAGTAGCCGCTCGAGTTCATCAGAGCCGCTTTGGGGCCTCTGTCTTGGATGGCTGCTGCTTCACTGTCCCCCAGACCAGTCCACGAGCAGCGAGAACGTATCAGACCAGGGGGCAGCAAACTATGGCCCATAAGCCAAATCTGGACCTTGGCAACTGCTTGTTTTCACGTAGCCCCCAAGCTAAGAACGGTTTTTACATTTTTAGAGAGTTGCAAAAAGAAAAGAATATGCAACAGAGACTGTACGTGGCCTGCAAAGTCGAGAATATTTACTGTCTGGCTCTTCACAGAAAAAAATTGCCAATCTCTGTTCCTAGTTATCCTCATTTACCAGACCAGGGTTTTCTAAGATGTGTTCTCAGGAATGATGACTTATGTGATTTAAAAACAAATGGAAAAGGATTCTGTGGTCGGATGGGTTAACCAGAAGTTTAAATTTTCTTTAACGTAGGGTGGCCTAGGACCCTTAAAATTCCAATGAGAACGCTGAACGTTTGGAACGTGTACCGCGTGTCACATACCCCACTAAGCACTGTACATACGTGATCTCATGTAATCCTTACCACTACCGTGTTGGCTCGTACTGTATCCCCATTTTAAGATGAGAAAACTTGGGCAAAGTGAGGTCTTGACCAAAGTCACTCAGCTAGTAATGTAGCATGGGCAGGTATCATTCCCATTTTATAAATGAGGAAACTGAAGCATCACACAATAAAATACCTCTCCCAGGGTCGCTAAATTAGAGTGTCAAATCCGTCTGCTTCTGGAGCCTGTGCCCTGCTCTTAGCGGACACTCCGGTTTCCAGCAAGCGCTGTGATGCTGCTCAGTGCATGGGACTCGTTCCAGGAAAGCTGCAGGACCGCGTTCCTGCAGACGTGGCTTGGGAGGCACTGCGTGTGTCAGTCAGTGCGTGATCGTCTCAGCTTGTCCACAGGGCCCTGTTCCGCACACATTTCTCCTTTGCCGGCTCTTCCCTGCCAGGTTCCACCAACAGGGGGCGCTGTCCTGTTTCCCCGTGGCAGCCTTCATTCATCCAGCCATATCGCCCAGCCAGGTTCACCTGGTAGGATTACACAAACCCCTCCCCTAGTGTTACAGTGTCCCACCAAAGGGCTTCTCTGCAGTGTTATTAATAGAATTGAATCCAGGAAAAATCCACATCCTTAACGAGCTTTGTAATAACGCTCTATTTGTCTGCCTAGCGATAGGCGTGCAGTTCACCCCCTGTACTGTCGTACGCCATCAACTAGATCAAGAACTGTCATACTCCAAGTACCTTGTCCTCTCATGAGTCAGGTGGTATCAGGATCTCTTGACACACAAAAGTGGAAAGAATGAGAGGGCCGAAATGCGGAGAAATAATCTTTTTCCAGCTGGGATTTTGTTCAGCCTGGCGGAACCTGGGGAGGGGCGGCCAGGAGCACAGCATCTGCATCAGGACGCGCATGGAAGCACGTTCGCTCCTGCAGCAGATTCAGAGTGGAGGCTGTTTCCATTTGGAGCCGAAGTTGAGGCATTGTCGAGCAGTACCCTGAACACTCCTCCATAAACCTGTCCACTCCCAGCCACTTGTCTGTCGCCTGCCTCATCTTCCCCCAGTCCACGGGGCTCTCAGGCCAGGCTTCTAGCCATATCACTTCATCAGCACTGGGAGAGGAGGCAGGGCCAAATCTATTATGCATCACAGTTGTGATTATAGTTCCATTATGAATGTGGATGAACGTGGGCCCTGGTCCTGATTCATTCATTCTCAGAAGCAAGGAATATGATACCAGTTGGCTGCTCTTGGGTGTAGATCTATTTTTTGCTGCCTGCTTAATTTACGGGAAAAGCTGGCAAGCCAGACTTTTTCTACCCAGGTGAGGACCCCCCGCTTGAGGACTGAATGCCCCAGTCATGTGTACTGACCTCGTGTTGTCTTTGCTTCCTGTTTCTTAGGTCACGTCCGAAGATGCGAATTCAAGTATCAAGAACTTTTTTTGTCCCAACGAGACCTACAATGACATGGCCACACTCTTCTTCAATCCCCAGGAGTCTGCCATCCTTCAGCTCTTCCACCAGGACGGTGAGTATCCGTGTGCCTGCCCACTCCTGGGTGGTTGGTTTTTTCTGCGGAGAACAGATGGTTAGTATTTCTCTGACCCTCTGTTGGCCCGCAGACACAGCCAGGCTTGCCCTTAATTCTGAGCAAGAACAGGACTTTTCCTTTGTAATACCAACCCAGACAAGATTAGAGTTTCTGCCTCCGGTGTTGGAAGTGAACCGGTTGGGGTACGGAAGGACCTGGTAGGAGCCGAGGCGGTCTGGCGGGTCTTGGCCGGCATCTGGGAGTGGGACTCATGTCGGTCCTTGCCTTGCAGGTACCTTTAGCCCCATCACTTTGGCCTTGTTCTTCGTCCTCTATTTCTTGCTTGCATGTTGGACTTACGGCATTTCTGTTCCAAGTGGCCTTTTTGTGCCTTCTCTGCTCTGTGGAGCTGCGTTTGGACGTTTAGTTGCCAATGTCCTCAAAAGGTACAGAGCGTGTGTGTGTGTGTGTGTGTGCGCGCGTGTGTGTGCGTTTGCACACACATGTGTGCCCATGCACAGGCGTGTGAACCATAGTCCCCGCCCCCCTCGCCCGGTTTGACTCTAAGCCTTGTTCTTGGTGTCTTTCCTCGCCAGCTACATTGGATTGGGCCATATCTACTCGGGGACCTTCGCCCTGATTGGTGCCGCGGCTTTCTTGGGTGGGGTCGTCCGTATGACCATCAGTCTCACAGTCATCCTGATTGAGTCTACCAATGAGATCACCTACGGACTTCCCATTATGATCACTCTGATGGTGAGCGCGCCTCTTCTAGGCCTCTTTCAGGTTCAGGGCCAAGTTCACCCCACAGCAGCCTCTTTTTAAATCTTGGCTTTGTGTTTCAGGTGGCCAAATGGACAGGCGACTTTTTCAATAAGGGCATTTATGATATCCACGTGGGCCTGCGAGGGGTGCCACTTCTGGAATGGGAGACAGAGGTGGAGATGGACAAGTAAGGCCGCGATATCTCCGCATGTCCTGGTTGCAGAATTTATCAACTCTAGGGCCCAAGGAATATTTGTATTAGGGCAGGAAATGTTTATTTAGATTCTTGGGTTGGAATTCAGTGAAACAGTAAATAACAGGAAGGTCATTGAAGCATATTTGTTTCCGGGCACGGTTGAGAATGTCGAACAGTTACTACGGTGTGGCCGGGAGCTGGGGCAGGGCGGGGGCTGAGGCAGACAGGGCTACTTCAGGGTTTTGTTTGGTTCCTGTGGCGTGCTGGTTAAATAGGAAGCGAGGTCTCTGCATAAAGCCTGTGTTAGGATTGAATGTTTAAACGAAGGCTCTACTAAGCCCTGGGAGTGAAACTAGCTTGCCTCACGTGTGCCTAACGAAATGTCGTTCCTTCAACAGTGATTGTTCTGGGCATAGTCACCAAATTATCCAGCGGCCCACAAGTAGTTTGGACCTCTGGTGTCTGGGTGTCACACATGGCCCTTATCATCTAATGTAGCGGTCAGCAAACTTCTGTAAAGGGACAGGTAGTAAATATTTTCAGCTTTACAGGCCATGTGGTCTGTCACAGCTCTCCAGCTCTGCGTCCGTAGTGCAGAAGCAGCCACAGACAATATGTAAATGAGCGAGCAAGGGGATTTGACCTGTGGGCTGCAGGTGCCATCCCTGGTCTGAAAGGACACCTTTTTTTTTTTTAATTCCAGTAGTATGATTAGCAATTCACCTGGAGTGCGCCTGGAGTACAGAGGAGGGGTTGGCCAGTGCTCCTAGGCAAGCAGATGGGGTTCTTGGTGAGGGGACTTTTCATACAAGGGATGAGTAGAGGCCCCCCAGTTTGACAAAGCAGGGAGGGGCTGGCTGGCCAGGCATGGGGGAGGGTCACGTACAAAGGGGAAGAAAGGGCAGAGGAGCGTGTGTTCGAGGAAGTGCTAGAGATGGCTCAGAAGAGACAGAGCAGGTGGTCCAGGAGGTGCAGGAGGACCAGCGCCGCCCCCTCATGCTTGCTCCGGGGGAGCTGCAGGCTCTGTCGTGAGGCTGGCTGGCTTCCCTCCCTCCCCCAGACTGAGGGCCAGTGACATCATGGAACCCAACCTGACCTACGTCTACCCGCACACCCGCATCCAGTCTCTGGTCAGCATCCTGCGCACCACTGTCCACCATGCCTTCCCGGTGGTCACGGAGAACCGGGGCAATGAGAAGGAGTTCATGAAGGGCAACCAGCTCATCAGTAACAACATCAAATTCAAGGTAAAGAAAACTGCCCGAGAGGAAAGGTGGGCAGGAGATGGCCAGCCGTTCCTTATGTTCACACTGGTCTAGCGCTGGCTCTTAGGACAGTCACACTCTTCATTACATGTGACGGTGAGTAGACTCGACAGCGAGAGTGGACTTTGTTAGACCATCAGGGCACATGTCCGTTTTCCCAGCAAGCACGTGGACGGGTTTTTTTCCATCAGCTGTCTTCAGGACTCCTTGTTTAGAATGTGCAGGTGTATTGGAGAGGGCTCTAGAGTCGTCACCAGACGTGGGTGTTGACCTGCTTAGGGAGGAAGAAGAAGTCAATCGACAGTCACAGGGCTGACAGGGAAGTGAAGAACCAGGGCGATGCCCTCGGGCACGTGCCGGCAGCTGACGGACACTCAGGGTACCAGGCGGCCTCGGCGCCACCTGCTCTCTGTCCTCTGATTGCTCCCAATTTGAAATCCAGGCAGAGGGAAAGTCCCGTTGCCTCACTTGGGCCATGTGCCACCGCTTGGCTTTGGGAACATGGAGATCAGTCCCACCCAGACATGACGTAGGAGAGGGGTTGACCCCACCGGAGAACCGTGACGCTCCTCCCAAATCACAGGAGCAGGGATGTGAGGCCGGCACACACCGCAGCGTCTAGCAAGCCCTGCGGCGCCGGCTCCAAAAGGCTCCCGCGACTCACAGCCCCTGGGCCCCCACAGAGATTTTTCACCTCGGTGGGCATGTGCTTCTGGCCCTCACTGTCACCCAGATCCCTAAGCTAAATGGACGCTGTGCCAGAAGTAGATGCTGCGTTGGCGTGCCCGCCTCCCTGGTAGAAACCTCTGCCGTCGTCACCTCCTCCCCGCCCACAGAAATCCAGCATCCTCACCCGAGCCGCTGAGCAGCGCAGACGCAGCCAGTCCATGAAGTCCTACCCGTCGAGCGAGCTGCGGAACATGTGTGACGAGCACGTGGCCTCCGAGGAGCCGGCAGAGAAGGAGGACCTCCTGCAGCAGATGCTCGAGCGGAGGTGAGCGGCCGCTCTCCCGCCACACAGGCACCGGCGGCCTGCAGCCCCAGGAAGGCCGGCCCTTTGCTCGGGTCCTGTCAGGCAGCTCCCGAGTTTGGGGGCGATTGGGGGGGTGGGTTAGGGTGCGGACGGAAAGCGATCCCGCTGAGGGTATACTAGGCAGCGTCTGGTTTTTGTATAACAGATACACTCCCTACCCCAACCTATACCCTGATCAGTCCCCAAGTGAAGACTGGACCATGGAGGAACGCTTCCGCCCTCTGACCTTCCACGGCCTGATCCTTCGGTCGCAGCTTGTCACCCTGCTCGTCCGAGGAGTTTGTTATTCTGAAAGTCAGTCGGTAAGTCTGTCTTCTTTTCCGAACCGGGATTGTGGAAGGCACGGTGGCAGGAACACAGCTCTCGACCTCAGGGAGGACAGAGGGGCTACTCAGAGTCCACGTGCCAGCGGGCTGCTGTCGAGGGACACACAGCCCACAGTTCCCCTGCTGCAGTCGGCGTCTCCAGGTGACTTGAAGCAGGCGGTGTGACTTCCCCCTAGTCGGTCTCTGCCCCATTTGTCAAGCGTCCTTCTGCCAGCCTGCAGGCTTTTGATGTGGTGTCTTAGTGTCAGGTGCAAATGAACTTTCTTACATGTGCTGTCAAGAAATAGCATTCTTCCCGTGAATTCCCCTGCAATTTCCTTTTTCACTTTCATTTGGTTTTTGTAGAGATAAGCAGGGGCGGGGTGTATCGTTCAAAATGTCCCTGTCGCCACCTGAGACTTGCTCAGCCCCATACACTTCTTCCCTTTAGATGGAGCTGGGAAAAGGAGGCTAAGTCGGTGCTTAGAAGCCTAGTTTCTAAACCGACTCTCCCAAGGGAGGCCAGCCAGCGGTCACTGTTCCGACTGGCCTAGAGAAGAGCAGCTAACGTGGGGCAGGACAGGAAGGGCCGCAGGTGGAGTGGCCGGGACCTGAGGGTGTGGTTCGTGGGGAGGAGCAGCCCGGCGGGAAGTGGGTGGAGGTGATGTGTGGAGCATGGGACAGGGGAGCTGGAGGAGTGGGGTCGCAGGGTTCCAGAGGCCTTTCCCGCACACGCACCAGCCCGAGCAGGCCTGGTAGAGCAGTGGGCGTCGGGTACTGGACGGAGAAATCTGTGTGCAGGGCAGAGATCGGGGCAGAGCAGTGGCCAGTAGTTGTGATCACTGTGGTCACTTGTGGCCCAGTGACAGTCAGCAGCAATGAAAGCTGAGGGAAAATCCAGGAGAGTCAGAATGGGTGAACCGTAACAGAGCTACTGTCTGGGTTTCCTGTGGCTGCTGTATCCAGCCCCAACCAACCGGGTGGCTTCGAGCAGGAATTATTCTTCCACAGGTCTCACGTACAAAGTCCAGCATCGACAGGGCCGTGCTGTGCTCTCTCTGGAGTCTCCGGTGGGGCCCTTCCTGTCCCTCCTAGTTTGTGGTCGTAGCCAGCATCCTCGGTGTTCCTCGACTATGGACACATCACATCTGCCTCTTTATCACATGGCTTCTCCCTGTGCCTCTCCTTTTTTATGAGGTCCCCAGTCATTGGATTTAGGGCCCTCCTTAATCCAGGACGACCTCGTCTTGACTTGATGACATCTGCAAAGACCCTGTTTCCAATAAGGCCACATTCGCAGGCACTAAGGGTTAAGAATTGGACATATCTTTTGGGGGGACACAAGTCAACCCACGCAGCTCTTATTAGTTAGCACTTTTCTAATTTAAATTCCAGAATAACCCACGTCCATTTTGCAGTTGAAGAAAGGGTAGTTCGGAGAGGTGAGGAGACTTGCCCAGGTTGACGCTGGCTTCGGATCGCCCCATGTCACTCCGCAGCACCTGTTCTGGCCCCTGCTCTGCACCACCTCGCTCTCAGCAGGGCCGTTGCTGGGCGGATACGGACGGGAAGAGGGAGGGGGCTCTAATGGGACCCTGCCAGCAGCCATGCCCGGTGCAAGGACAGTGTCTTAGTGTCTTGGTTGGGATTGCAGAGCTCCAGCCAGCCGCGCCTTTCCTATGCCGAGATGGCCGAGGATTACCCGCGGTACCCCGACATCCACGACCTGGACCTGACGCTCCTGAACCCGCGGATGATTGTGGTGAGGAAGGCGGCCCCTCTGAGACGGGCCGCAGGGAAGGGCTGCTGCCCATCTGTGCTGTCCGTGTCCCATCCCGGTCAGGGCGGAACTGGCTGCAGGTAACTCATGTTGTCTCTGCTCTGCAGGATGTCACCCCGTACATGAACCCTTCGCCCTTCACTGTCTCACCCAACACCCACGTCTCCCAAGTTTTCAGCCTGTTCAGAACGATGGGCCTGCGGCACCTGCCGGTGGTGAACGCGGTGGGAGAGGTGAGTCCGAGTTCCGCCAGAGGACGGGGGACCCTGCCAGCCTCAGTGGTCCATCCACCCACCTTCAGGGACCACAGCTGCTGTACGGGAGTCAGGGCTCCGCAGCCCGAGGACACATCAGAGTCCCTCAGGGGGATCTCTCAGACGCACACCTCTGCAGCTGTCCCCCAGGAGTGAGGGGGCGAGTGGGCGGGTGGGGCTTGGGGAGGCTTCACGAACCCTTCCTGTTGCCTCCTGCGTTTCTCATGTGCTGTCTCCTGCATGGCCAGCAGATGTCGCCAGAGGCACAGCGGCCTTTTTTTCTGCATCCCAGAAAAGCTCAGGGTCGTCCTTCCTCTCAAATGGCTCTTCACCTTTGACCCAGCAACACCTCCTGGGGATAGGGGGTTCCCCATCCGTTCATAACATTAAATGAGAGAATTTCAAGCAAAATACTTAGAGATACAACATTTAGTAATTATTGCTGCAGACTTTTCCTTTTTTTTAGAATTCTATTTTTTATTATATGTTATAGAAAAATAAGAAAATATAAGTAAAGAAAAAGAAATACCAAACCCTTATCCCTACAGAGATGTGATTTTTCAAGATACGTTCTTTCTCTTTTCTCTGCATCTAGTAGAAATTTTATGTAACAAGTTTTGATGAGTATGTTATCATTTAACCTCTTTAATACTCTAATTTTTCATTTAACCTATAAAAAAATTTACTTTGGACAGCAGAAAACGTTCATTTAACAACATGTCAGTGGCTCAACAGCCCTCTGTCGCGTGGCTGTCCTGTCACGCATTCAGTAGTCCTCTTTCGTGGGATCTCCAGTTAAATTTCACTACAGTCGTCACCCGTTTGAGGCTTTCCATACACGCTAGCAGAGCGCCCTACAGGAAGTGACACCTCGCTCAAGTAAAAACGTGGGACAACAGAACACGGCATGGCACAGCTGGTTCTGACGTTTACTGCAGTGGGTCGAATCATGCTCCTTGAGACACAGCTGCACCGACAGCCCCAACAGTTTATGGTGGGGGGCCACGTCAGTGACAGATGCGAGTCCTCGCAGCGACTGATAAACGACCATTTAGGAAAAACACTTTTCTGAACTCTCACACTCTACTGTACTTCTGTCGCCATATGTGTGGGGGTTTCCCCACATCAGGCAAATCTCTGATCCTCTGGCCACCAGCTACAGGTCCTACAGTTTAACTCAGTTCTGACACTGTCTGCCTGGAGATGATGTCAGCTCCCACAGGCGAAGGGCTCAGTCCCACAAGACTGTCCCCCAACCTCCACTTCAGATGTCAGTCAAAAGTCCCAGATGTCACCTATGCTTCTGAGCAGCTGGCTATAAGTCAGATTCCCATGACACAGAACTCAGGGAAACTGTTTATTTCCTAGATTACCACTTTATCATGAAGAAATGTAACTCAGGAACAGCCAGGTGCTCAGGGCAAGGTGTGCGAGAGGGGGTGGAGCCTCCATGCCCCTCCGGCACACCACCCTCCTGGCACCCTACATGATCACCAGCCTGGAAGTCTGTAGTCTAGGAATTTTAATCCAGGCTTCATTACATAGGTGTGATGATTACGTCATTGGCTGTCAGTGATAGATTTACCTTCTGGCCCCTCCTCCCACACAGGTGGGGGTGGGGCTGAAAGTTTCCATCCTCTAATCACATGGTTGGTTCCAGCCTCCCTCCTTAGGGACTTTCTAAAAGTTACACCATTAACATAAACTCCGGTATAGTTGAAATGTGCTTGTTTTGAATAATAAAAGACATCCTATTACTCATCATTGAGGAAAGTCTTAGAGTTTAAGAGTTTTTTGTCAGGATCTAGGACAAAGACCAAATACGTATTTTGTATAAATCAGTATCACAGTGACTCGGGTAGTTATGAAGATGGTATTTTTGAGCTGTAGCAGGGCCCACGGCATCTCAGAACCCTTCGCTGGGCGCCGCATCGTGCGCACACACGTGCAGCAGGCTGTGTCTGGCGAGAACTAAGAAAGCTGGCAAGTGTCCCTTTTTTAAAAAGACATGCAAATTCAGATTTCAGCTGGCCCAACTACAACCTTCTATAGACCTAAACGTGTCCCATTGGCCTCCAGTTTATGAACCTTAGTTATCTGTTTGTCTCGTTCCGTCTAGAAATGAGATAGCCTTCGGAATGAGTGTCTGATCACGTCATTACGTCTGTTCTGCACTGTGCAGGACCTGGTTCTGTCCCCGCTGCTCCCCGTGACAGACCGGTGAGCAGTCCACTCACATTGTTGCCCCAGCGGCTTTTACTCTGTGAGCGACTTGGGTCTTTTTCTCATTCTAGATTGTCGGGATCATCACCCGACACAACCTGACGTACGAATTTCTGCAGGCTCGGCTGCGGCAGCATTGCCAGACCATCTGAGGGCTTGGCTCGGCCTGCCGCGGGCCAGCCCACCCTCTCCTGGAGCTGCGGGGGGATGCAGCTCGCTCATGCTTCGTCGCCGTGGCTGGCTGCGTTGGTCCAGGGCACGGAAGGTGCCCAGTCACCCACTCGCTCAGAAAGGCTGCAGTCATTGGACACTTTGCTGGCCAGAGATCCTGGGGATGGTGTCGAACCATCAGAGTTTGGGCTTGTCTGACTTTCTCAGCAAGTATCTTCCTGTTTGCCGCCCCCCGAGTTCCTACCATCCAGTGTCGCACAGGCCCCAGGCCCCTGCACCCCCCGAGCACCAGGGCCAGAGCGGAAGGCAGGCCTCCCCAACTGGAGGGCATCACCCAGAACAGTGTCCCTGCCCCCTTACCCCCCAGGAGCCCCAGCTGTGGCCTTAAACCATGAGAGGGGACCGTGGCCAAGGCAAACACTGGGGGGGTCCCAGTTGCAAAATTAAGTGAACTACTAAATTCAGGAGTTGGGCACCGAAACGGTGTTTCAGGGAGGCCTTCCTCGGGGGGACTGTCAGCTCGGCATCTGCGACAGGTCATTTTGCAGGAAGTGTTGTGCTTCCGCGGCATGAGCTCTGGCGCTCTGGTCTGGCCCCGTGGTTTCAGTCTCCTGAGAGCCACCACCCTCCAGAAGCACAAAGCATTAAAGTCCCTCCGACAACCTCTGAACAAGAAATCCGGCAGAAGGGTCAGATTGGCGTCTGCCCTGGTTTTTAACATTTCAGCTTTCTCTCCATTTCCCAAATTACTCATGGTCTCCTAGTGAGTTTTTTATCCTGATTTGTCCCTGTGCCTTTTCACGTCCACTAAATTACTAAACTTCCCTTAAGTTTCTGCCCGCGTCTTCCTGGTAAAGCCTCCACAGCCCAGAGGATCTTGGCATCGCTCCCCATCCCAAGTTCACTAAAAGCAGGGCACCCCTAGGTGGCTCTGGGGGATGATCCAGCTGTTTCTAAGGTGGAAAGGAGTGAATCCTGAGCCAATGGCCCCTGCAAGGTACATGATGTGGCTTGAAAAACCAGAGCGTTTTGATGATTTATTCGAGGAAGAGGGTGTCGGCCCTTCACAAACCTCTGTCACTTCCCTGCTCACACCCCCAGCCTACTGAGGGGCTCCGAAATGAAAACTTCAGGAGGCTCTGCTGTGCCGCTGGGAGGCTGGCAGGGGGAGAGGGGGCTGCTTCGTGCCAGCACATGCCCCAAGGCTTTATCATCGAACATAGGAAGCTTCCTTCTGTCTTTCAGTGACACGGTTTCTCTCCAGGCTGGCCGGTCCTCTCTGCACAGACACCCAAAGTGAGCATTTGAATGTCAGGCATTTGTACTCACGCTCCTCTCGCTTCTGCTCTCTCTATGCGTTTGTCAGCATCCCCGGCCCATCAGACAACCTGCTGGCAGCTGTGCTTTGGGACTCAAGATGGCATTCCTTTGCATTTGTTTTTCTAATCATGGAAGTTGCCTGAGGGCATCGGTGCCTGGCCCTGGCAACCCTGTTCTTTCGCTCTCAGCCTTATCTTGACTTCGATGCCCAGACCCTTTCAGCCGGGGGTGGGTGTCGGTCCCAGTCCTGCCAGCTCAGGGCTTATGCTCAGCGCTCTCTAGGGAGTAATTCCACTTGAGCTGCTTCAGGATCTTTTCCACAGGACTGCGACCCCCTCTGTTCTTCCCATTCGCTTATCCCTTAGACCAAAAGTACTTCGATGCCTAAGCTTTGAGCAACCCCGGATGCACACGATTTGTGAAACGTGGGTGGCGCTCCCAGTAAATTGTTGAGGTCACAAGGACCAAAACGGCAACCCTGTAAGTGACTGTGTCCTGCTAGCGGCCGCTTTGTCGCAGAGCAGCCTGCACAGCTGACTGCACTGTTTTTTTCCATTTATGAAGAAGGAAGCCAATCATGAAAGTCAGGAGAATGGCATGACTGCCCATCACAGAAACTGAACGCCCGCTTCCCAGCCCCCACCGAGACTGGCAGAACTAGAGTCCCGCAGGAGGACCTCTGGCCTCCAGGGGTCTGGGTCCCCAGCTGCTGCCCTCAAGGCCACCCCCGTGAATGTTGTTGGAATTTATCCCTCGTGCACATAGTGCTGTTTTTAAGTCACCAGGTGTTTCGTTCCCATCAGTGTAGCCCAGAGACAGCAGAATGCAAATGCCTCCCACCCCCTGAACGGACTGGATGGCCACCAACGAGGACCTAGACCCAGGCCCCTCTGGAAAGGCCCGTAGTTTCCTGTCCTCTGTGCACATCTGTCCTTTCTGGATAAGCCCAAAGACAACCCCTGCTCCACTGGTAACAAAATAACTGAGCCTCGCTCTTTTGATTTCTTAGAAACCTACATGTCAACGTCTCACCTCATACCAGGCCCATGGCCTCCCCCGGGGTAATGTCCCTCCATAGGCAAAAATCCACAGACGGGCTCGGGAGTTGGTGACAGGTGGTCGTGTTCTGTCTCCAGCTTGGTGTTTCGTGGTCCCTTGGCCAAGGGGATGGGGGAAAGGGGGACCTTTGCACCCTGGGGGACGATTTACTCATGACTTTGTTTAACAAATGGCTTCTGGCGGGAATGGACACTTAGGTGCTTGACCCAACCGACCATATGACGTTTCTGATGCAAAATTGCACACTTGACAGAGTGCTTGGTGACAAGAAAGCCTCTGGAAAGGCCAGGCGCGGCCTCCTGGGCCTGCAGTATTGATGTGCAGTATTGCCCCACAGCTCCTGTGGCCCTTGGTCATTTCAACAGTAGCTGCTTCTTTTTTTTCTGTTTGCACTGTTCGTTTATACAGTAATGTTAGCTAATTCCACTGTGTATATAAATTGTATTTTTTTTAATTTGTAAAATTCTATTTTTATTTGAACTTTTGAAACTTGGAAGTTCTCATCATAACCTTAACACGTCAGAATAAAATATCTTCATCTGTCTTTGTTAGCCTTTTTCTTTAGAGTGGTAGTTGATTTTTATTTTATTCCCTCTCTCTTTCTGATATGTAAAAATTGCAAAGCTAGAAAGTAGTTTTATAGTCTCAGATCTCCCCTCATAGTTTTCCCAGCAAGACTTCAATCACAGGGGTCCACTCCCTCCCTTAATAAGGCCCAGTTCCGTCCTGTGGATCTCAGCCAAAATCCTGGGGTCACCCCTCGGGTTCTCCCTCCATGCTAACACGGTTGGATCTTGCTGACTTATCTTCTTCTCCTTTAAAAACCTACTACCTATTCCAGCTGCTGCCGTCCGTAGCAATAGGAGGAGAATCCATGTGTCTCCCGACAGTGTTGTGTGTAGGAATTTGCCCCACAAACAGATTCCCCCAGTAGCCGACAGAGGAAACGAAATCCATGCTGAGTCTGTAGATCCATGCTGAGACCCCGTGCCTGGCTTCTGCTGGTGCCATCTGTCATTGCTTTTTCTTCACTCCCGAGTTTGCCAGAAATCTGGCTTGCTTTGTCTCTAATCTGCTTCAAGTGGCCAATCTATCTATCTGCGGTGGAAATGGTCTCGTCAGTTCAGGACCCCTCCGTCTATCCCCAAGTTTCCTAAGTTCCAGGGGCATTTTCTGTATATTTGGCACTTTCAGGGGATTCCATTCAGTGAGAACCCACTGCATCACGGTGACACCTTGAGAGTGTGCCCAGCTGGCCACTCTCCTCCTAGCAACTCCCACTCCCCCAGGGCCTGACCACCGGAGCCAAGCTTGGACAGACATTTCTTCCAGTCTTTCTACCCTTGTCCTCGTTGGTCCTTCTCTGCTTCTTGGTTTTCCACTGTTCTGAGTTTGAAGTCCACACAAGGAACATTTTTACTGGAAAGTGCTTAGGTTAGCGCTCTCCCCGCCCGCTCCCTAACCATCAATTCACTTCCAGCTTCCCCTTCCCTCTATAAGGAGTGAGTTGCTATTTTATGACTTCCTTTCTCGATTCCTATATGCGACCAAGACAAGGTGACTGACATTTTTAGAGCATCAACTGTGCCATGTACTGCAGGGAGTATTGATGGTGCATTTGCCCTCCAGGAGCTTGCAAACCAGAGACACAGACACAATTACATACCAGACAAATCATGGCACAGTAGTCAGGGAAGGCTTCAGAGAAGAAGTGACATCTGCAGTGAGTCTTGGGGAAGAATGAGTGTATGTTCTCGGGAGCACTGGGTAAAGGGCTCTCCAGGTGGAAAGAACAGCATAAACAAGGGCTTGGGAAAGTGATCGTGCAGGTGTAGGGGGTGTGGGAGGAGCGTCGTAAAAGCAGACACGTAGTTTGGGGTGTTTGGGGTAATGGTGGGGAGATCGGCTAGAGAACTACTCGCTCCCTGTTGTAGGTGAACTTAGCGCCTGGTAGTTTCTGCTTAGGACAACACCTTTTCAAATACAAAGGAACAGCATCTTGTCCAGTAGCTCCCACCTCAGCAAAGTCTACAAGCCCAGGCACCTTGGACTTGAATTAGGAAAAGATGGTGGCTATTTTTTAAACACATATTAGTACCCCAAAGGCACAGAAGCTTGCCGTTTGTCAGCCTAGAAGACATTTCTTTCTTCATTTCACTCGGCTTTTACACCCCATTTCTTTGCCTGCTCTTTTTAAAACTAAAAGTGGCATTCGCTCAGCTATAGCACCTGACTCAAAATGTATCAGAGAAAATTTAGTTCCCTCATTTTATAAATGTGCCTTTAAAATAAAAACTGTCACCAAAAAGTACTCAATGTGCAAAAATTATCTATTGTGTACAAACTACATAAGATGTAACTAGGAAAAAAAGCTCAGAGATTTATAAGCTTTAAAAAAAAAAGTGCCCTGAATATGAGCAAATCTGAAAAATAAATGCCTTTTCAGTCTCCTGGAGCTTTCTGAGGATCCATGATGAGGCTGGGGAGAGTAAGTTGAAAACTGAAGTTTAAGCCCATCCTCAATCAAAAGAAAAAAAAAGAGAGAGGAAAGGAAGAAGAAAAGAGGAAAGAATTTGTCCAAACCCACAGAACGTACAACACCAAGAGTGAACTCTGTGCAAACTATGGACTCTGGGCGATGATGACGCGTCAATGCACGTTAATCAGCTGTAACAAAAATGCCATCTGGTGGGGGATGTTGCTAATGGGGGAGGCTGTGAGGTGGGGCTACAGGAGGTAGATGGGAAATCTGTACTTTCTGCTCAGTTTTGCTGTAAACCTAAAACTGCTCTAAAAAATAAAGTTTATTAATTATTTTTTTGAAAGGAGGAATAAACACATTGCACATTCTTCTCTCCTACAAAAGGTAAAATGAAAAGGAATATCAGCCTGAATTCTTTTCCCCAGGAAACAAAGAAATCACGCCAACCCCAGCTTTTGGCTTCTGTCCGTGGTGCTGAAGTTTATTCATTTTCGAACCTCTGTCAGTAACAGGTGAGGGTTTACCCTAAAATTTAATGCATGAGGTGGGAGAGGTGGGGGAAGCCACAGTTAAACCACTTTGTCTACATTTAGCATAAAACGTGAAGAATGTTGACAGGAGGCTGCAGCTTGAATAGGGTGCTCGTCACAACTCAAATTGATGGCAATAAGACGGGACAAAGTTGAGTGAGAGACCCCAGGGGATGAGGGTCTCTTTCAGTCTGCCGGGGCCTGGCCATTATCTTCGGTACTACAAAGAGAACACAGACACGTTTGGCTTGGTGACCTGGCTCAACTGGAAAAGTCAGCTTCATACAGAGGTGCTCACTTCCCCCCAGCCCCCTCTTCAGCCTGACGACCCACTGACTTTCATGAACCGGTAAGCAAGTTGCTCTTTAGAAGTCGATAAGATCAGCCGTGGTCTCTTTCAATTGACCTTTAGAATCTGACAGTTCCGGGGAGGAACACGAACTGCCAATCAGCTGTACGAAGGTGACTTGGCCCATGAACATTTTAAGTTCCCGGTACTCATGGCAGTAATTTTTCCCTCAGCACTTACTCGGCAGGCTGTAGCTAAGAATGATGTCATTGTCCCATGATTCATGGGGCCCCCACCCAGTTGGGGAAGAAATTTCCAAGGGAGTAAGCTTCTATGCTGGTCCCTTTGCTGCTGAACGTACCCCCTGGAGGTATTCTTTGACAAGGCGTAAGCCTCAATGAAACCTCGATTTCCTTTCTCTCCATCCCGTTTCCACATCCCATCCCCAGATTCTCTTACCCGGAAGCTGTTGCAGCCGAGTCCACTCTGGGCTCCGATCCTGTCCATCCTGCCCCCAAAGCAGCTGGACCTTCGCAGACTCCGAGGGGCAGCAAGCAGTGCCCTCAGCTTGTTTTTCAGGAGAGCAGATCTATCGGAGGAGTCCCAGGGGCCCCGCCCAAGGGTGCCGCCATCTCTCTGGGCTGGGCTAACCTCTCCGGTCCAGGGAGGCACCTCAGGGAGAGGGCTGAGGGCTGCCTCAGCTTCCTCATTCTGCTCACTTAGGACTTGTGGGGGCACAACCTCATCTTCTAAAGGCATCTTGTCCTCCAAATGGTCCAGCAAATTCTTTACAAAAGGAAAACAAAGGGAGAAGAAGAAGTCTCACCAACTGGCAGAGTGTCACAAAGCCCCCTGGCCCCAGACTGTGACCCCTTTCTGGCCCTACCTTGAAATCCATCAGGTCGGCGTTGGACACGGAACTGTACAGGGGGTTAGCGCTGGTTTGCCCTGGGAGCTGCAGCACCAGAAGGAGGAGGAAGCTCGTGGTGATGGTGGAGAAGGAGCCCATGCTGGTGTCAGTCAAGGAGTGGTCTGCTGCTCACTGCCTCTTCCCTCGCCTCTCTGGTTTCCCACTACTGGCCTTCGTCCGTCTGCGTCTCCCCACTGCCCTGCGCCTCCTCTTTTTATAGCCCCCCGGCTCTCCAAGAGAATGAGAGGGATGGAACCCTCCCCATTCTGTCACTTGCAGCGATAAAGCAGCTGAGTGAGGAGCCAGCAGAAGATGTCCTTTTAAAGTTATCAGTCCAGCGGAGCTTGTCACAGCCCCTCCACCTTGAGCAGCCCCAACAACCCCGGGAACCTCGGCTGCAAGAGCCACATTCTTGTTGATTTGCCTCAAGAGGATCCCACTTCAAAGGTGTGAGGAGAGCGAAAAAGAGTCCTTGGTTATCTCACAGCGATGCCTCAGGCTTCTTTCTCCTCGGCAACCGGACCCACACAGGGAAGCAGAGGGTGACGGTTGGCCGGTGCCCAGCTCGCCCAGTTGGTTTGCAGCTCAGCTGTCAGGGGCTCCAAATAAGGGCGAGAGAGGAGGAAATGGCAGGAAGCTGGCTGCTCAGGACAAATTAGTCCAGATGCTGGAGCTGGCCTCACACCTGACTCATCAGCGCCGAGGGCAGGACCCCGCCTTCCGACAGGGCTGCCCTCACTCCTGGCAGTTGCTCTCAGGGGTCAGGTGAAGAGAGAGTTATTTTGCGGAGTACTAAGTCAGCTGGGATCCCAACGTGATGAATGTCCTAAGAACTCAGCTCCCAAATATGAACATCAAGAAAAGTTTTGGGAGCACAGCCATTTCTCTGCAAAGCTTCCTCTCCTTCGCCCCATGGCCCCCTCCGAGGTGTTTAGGGAGACAGGTACTGAGAGAAATGCTGGCATTTTCGTTTTGCTGTGTATAGAAGCTCAGATTCTTTGGGTTTGAAGCTTGTCATGCCCTGAGCCTTCCCAGGAAAGCTCCCATGGCAAGTTGGCTGATGGAGTGAGGTGGGAGGTGGCAGTGGCATCCGCGGTTTCCCTTCATGTCCTTCTCCGATGGCCAGGCAAGCGAGGAGCCGCTGAGGTCTCAGATTTCCTGGCCCCCAACGAGAAATAACAGGCAATGAGACTGTCCACAGTTACCGAGCGGCCTCCATTCCCTACGCACTGAATTCAGTGTTAGCATACGATTCAACGCAACACACACGGGGAAAGACAAATTTGAAGGGTCGAGAGACCTGTGGTGTAGCCCCAGACAAACCAGTTCCTCACATGTGAAACCCTGCCCCATTCGCCTCTCAGCTTTGTCTTGAGGCTCCAATGGGCTAATGATGTGTGGACCCATTTTGAAGTGTGAAATGCTATATAGTTGCAAAGTGCTAATGATCTTTATCGGTCAGTTGTAATGTGCTGAGAGCTTTATTGATGTGAATTATTTTGTTGTCATCACCACCCTTGGGAGGCATAGTACTGTTCCCATTTACAGAAGGAAAGAACTCAGGCCGGAAGCTTAGGTCACTTGCCTGAGGTCGCTCAGCTCAGAAGGGATAGAACTAGGACTCGAACCCCAGGTCTGACACCAAGGCCCACTATTTTAACTCACTTCGTGGATACTGCTGCTTCTCAGCAACGTGGTTCCTTACAAGCCCTTGAGGTACAGCCCCTGATGAACGACACCCCTATTCCCAATCTCTCATGTTGCCTCTGGCTGACATTTCACATGCCCCGTGCCCTGGGGGCTATGCGTGCTGGGCACACAGTCTGTGCACGTGCGGCCTGTCTCAGGGAAAGCACCACTTCCCACCTCCATGACCTATGGACACACCTAACATGTTTGAGTCTCCTCCATGAAGCTCGAGAAATGCATGTCAATGACTCCCAGACCCCTCCACCCCCACCCAGCTGTGCTCACTTCTTGGCTGATCAAGCGGAAAGGCTGTTATATTTCAAGAGGGCAGGAAATCAGGGCAACACGTGGCCAGAGATCACAAGAGGTGTCCAGGGTGATTTTATTCTAAGACAGAAGGGAAAAGGAACCCTTTTCAGTAACTGATTCGAGTCAGCCAAACTCAACTCGAAATCCGAAATGGGCGCAGCTCTGAGTAGGTGCTCCTGGAGCAAAGCACCCTCATATCCTGAGCCCCTGGAATGTGCTCAGAGCTTAATTGCTCGGTTGGCAGGTTATTATTAGCAAAGAGGATTCAGTCGCAGCCACGCTGGGGGGGACTGGTGCTCCGTGCTGCGTGCGTCACACAGCCTGTCTCCTGGAGATGCCCTTTGAACAGGCGTGCGTCACACAGCCTGATTCCTGGAGATGCCCTTTGAACAGGCCTTTGATGTGGGCAGAGACTTCCGGAAGGGCATCCTGGCGTGGCGGGTGGCCTCTGAGGGCCAAGGCGGCCACTCTGTCCTGAGCCGCCACTGAAGTCTGTAGGTGGCCCAAGGAAAAGGGATGTCCCAGCCGAGGTTCAGAAAGAGAATTTCGGAATTTGCCCAGCTGCTTTTATTAAAGTCAGTTTTTCCCTTCCAGAGTGAAACTGGACTGGGGTGTGGGTGTCATTTGTTGAGTTTCTTCCATTAGCCAAGGTTTTGTTTGTTTGTTTGTTTGTTTGTTTGTTTGTTTGTTTGTTTGCAGAAGGGGGCTGGCACTTAAAAGAATATTCTGTTTTGCTGCTCTGGGGATTTTGTATAGAACCAATACTACCTCCTACACTAACTAGACCCATTGAAAACACAGATAATTCCGAGATATACTCATTTCTCCAAATCCAATTAAAGCCTCTGACTTGAGTCTGAAATGAACAATGGCTTAATGTAAAGTTGCTCTTCATTTCTATGCCCCGGCTCAACTTTGAGGTATGTGTGCGGAGGACTAAATATTTCCTGGGGTGTTCAGAAGCCAGCCTGCAAGAGTCACAGAGAAGAAAAGCAAAAGACACAGAAAATCAGATCCACCCCCTGCCCCTCCTCTCCCACTGGCTGAAAAATCAAAAGACTTTATTTCCTTATCCCTGGAAAGACGTCATCCTTAGTCATGTAAGAAATGAACACTGCAAATGGGTGGGAGAATCGAGAATCAAGGTATCTCCTGTTTCAAGCCTGGGGTTTGGCCTCGCACTCCTCCACATGGATGCTTCGACAAGCCACGTGATCCAGCAACGTCACACGTGCAGAACTGGTATTAAAAACTCATCTCTTAATGCCATCCATGTGCTTCTCCAAGGCCAGCAAGTGATGAGCCACTGAGGCCTGTCAGACCCAAATGGTCTAAAGCAGAAGCCACCATTGGGAGAAATGGGCAGGACGCTATTGCATATTTGGGGATGGTTGTCTCTGGCTTTGATAACAATGTTCTGTTTCTTTGTTTCTCTATAAAACAAAGCCCAAGGAAACGTTCATTGGCGAAAGGGTTCCAGTTCAAGGGAAGCGAGGTAGTGTATCTGTTAACTATTGCCGCATAGCAAACGACCCCAAACCTCAGCAACTTAAAACCACGCACATCCATCATCTAATAGTTTCTGTCAGTAAAGAATGGGCCCTCCTTGCTGGGTGCTCCTTGCTCAGGGCTCTCACAGGCTGCAAGTAAGATGTCGGCTGGGACTGCAGTCATCTCCAGGCTCGGCTGGGGGGTCTGCTTTCAAGTTCACGCCTATGTGTGTCGGTGGGCCTCAGATCCTTGCTGACTGTTGGCTAGAGGTGTCAGTTCCTTGCCACATGGGCATTTCCATAGAGATGCAACTGACTTTTTTTTTACAGAGAGAGAGAGAGAGAAAAAAAAAAATTGTGTAAACCACAGTCTATTTGTAGCCTAATCTTGGAGGTGGCATCTGTCGTGTTTGTTGTACTGTGTTCATTAGAAGTGAGTCACTAGGTTCAGCCCTCACTGAAAGGGAGGTTGCCAAGGGCAAGAGTACCAGGAGATGGGCATTTCTCGGGACCATCTCGGAGGCTGCTCGCTGCAGGTAGAGAAAGAGAGAGAGCAAATATAAGGTGATGTGTTACCAAGCTGGCCGCAGTTTTACAAAAACACCTTCGTGGCTGGTTGGTCATGCTGAAGTCTCCAAAGAGTTTCTTGGAGCCTGGTACCTTGGAACAGTCTGAGAGGAGAGGAGAGGGTGAGGGCACTGTTTGAGATCCCTAGGGTGCTGTAACAAAGCACCACAAACCGGGTGGCTTAAAACAACCAAAACGTATTGTCTCACAGTTCTGGAGGCGAAAGGTCTGAATTCAAGGCGTTGGCAGGGCCATGCTCCCTCGGAAACGTGTATGACAGTATCCTTCCTTGCCCCTTCCAGCTTCTGGTAGCTGCGGGCATCTTCAGTCCCTGACATCACTCCCGTCTCTGCCTCCATCATCGCATGGCCATCTTCCCTGTCTGTGTCTCTCTCGCTTCTTAGCAGGACACCAGTCATCTTCGATGAGGAGCCCGCCCTGCTCCAGTGTGACCTCATCTTCACTAATTACAGCTCAATGACCCTATTCGCAAGTAAGGTCACATTCGTTCTGAGGTTCTGGGGGTTTTAGACTTCAACGTATCTTTCAGGGGGACATAATTCGACCCATAACATGCACTTTATCTGTGGGCTCTGTTTTATCTCCTGTCTCTCACTGATCAAAATGCCACCCCTGCCCCAGGGCTTAAATCCCCTGCACTTCTGGGCTGTGTTAGCCAGTTCCTTCAGGCTATGGCTGGAGAAAAGAGAGGCTCCCGGTCCAGTCCACCCACGGACTAGCTTGGCAATCTCTCTTTGCCAATCGATCCTGCTTGGGAGGGGGGTCGGCGCTGGAGGTGGAGAGAAAGTCAGACAGCAGCATGAGGGCCAGGTCAGCCGTTGCTAAGACAGCATTCGCCAGGAAGCCAGAGGCTGAGCAGGTAGGAGGCAGCGCCTGAATGAGCTGCAGGACCCCCTGCATCCCAGCTCCTCCCACATACTGATTCTTTAGAAAATATTTTCTGAATGATTGAATCCATGGGTTTGCCTTCAGTGCCTCTCCTATACCTGCCCAACACACACACACACACACACACACACACACACACACCCCCCATACCTGAGAGCCCAACATTGCATCTTGCCCTCCCTGGGGGTCTCACA